AACAGGAAAGGGAAAGGAAAGTATTTTACATTTTTCAGAATCTGAATAACAACATCTAATGTTTTATGACTGGCTTGAAAGGCAGAGAATGCTTCTGGAAAAAAAAAAAAAACCTTTCAAAAGTTTCCTTTTCAAACAGATTTTCTAGAGACAAATCCCACTCTTCTTTTCCAAATCCATCCTTTTTTCCTTGAGAAAACATTTTTTAGAAAATAAATACATCTGGACAGTTTACAAAGTCCTCAGAGGCTGGAAAACTAGCTATAACAAGGACTATACTTGACACATTTTTCTTCAGGCTAAGTTACTTCATTCAAGGTTTTAATGTTTAAATAAACTGCTGCCCAAATCAACAATCTACAAAAATCATTCACTCAGGGAGAGGTCTTCAATCCTTCTGCCCCATTTAAGGCTGATTTGTATGGTGACTGAATGCATTTTATTATATTTCACACAGTCCGCTCCCAGCACTCCTGAAAGAGTGGTGAGTCTATTTTCAGCGAAGAAGCTAAGACAAAGCTGGTAATATGGTGCCAAAAGCAGTACTTAGTACAACCAAGAGACTGCATCTGGTTTGGGCATGTGATGGGGCAGACATCAGGGAGATGTTCTTTGCTCCTTGTCCCTCACAGGCAAAGCAGTGAGGGGGTTGAGCAGGCAGACTTTGTAGCAAGCTAGACCAACTCAGTTTTAAATCCCAGTTCTGCTAATTGCTCAGAGTGAGACTTCAAGCAAGTTGTTTTACCTCTCTGTACCTTATCCTTATCTATAAAGTAGAAAGAGTAGAACACTTACTTCCTAGGTTATATAGTTGATATACAAATGTTAGCCCATTAGTATTTATCAGACTTACAGAAAAAAATTTTTTACATCACTTAGATTCCTAAAAATATACAGTTTCTGAGGCTCAACTCTGTCCCAGCTAACCCCTGCCTAAGTTTCTGAGAACTGAAACAGCTGTGTTTTTGTTTTTGTTTTTTAAATTTTCTATTAGCCAACATATATTACATCATTAGTTTTTGATGTAGTGTTCAACGATTCGCCAGTTGCATATAACGTGTTGTGCTCATCACAACATGTGCCCTCCTTAATGCCCATCACCCAGTTACCCCATCCCCCCAAGATGTTAAAAGCAGAGCTACCCTACGACACAGCTCTGTGTTCGGCCTCCTACTTGTTTCTACACAGAGCAGAGAGTAATTCCCATTGTATATCTCAGCCACCCCTAACCTTAAAAGTACACTCTGTAATAAAATTTATTTTTATGGTCAATAGTTATTATTGGGAAACAGTGATCCCATAGAACTTACGTAACAGTGAGGAAAAGTTCACTAAAAAGTGAACAGATGAACACTTAGCACCCCCATTACCCCCCAGATATGTTATTTTAGAGTAGTTTATGTGGAGATCAGGGATGGCCTGACAAGGTAGCACTAACATAGAGAACTGATGGACATGAGAGAGCAATCCAGACAGAGACATAAACAAGTTCAAAGGCCCCAAAGAAGGGATATACCTGATATGTTCAAGGAATGATAAGAAGCCCAGAATGGCTGGGAGTCCAGTGAGCAAGGAAGGAGAGCGGTAGGAGAGGAGGTCAGAGAGAGAGAGGTGGGGCATGGCTAAAATGGGGCTTGTAGGCCATGGTAAATGGTTTGCGTATTTCAATGGGGATTCATTGGAGGGTTCTGAGCAGAAGGCCGACTGATCTGATGTATGTTTTAGAAGGCTACTCTGGCTGCTGGTAGTGAAGAGATCATTAGGGCTCACTGGCAAATAGAAGCAGAGGGACCAGGGAAGTAGTGACTACAATGAGTGATGGTCATGTATGATGATGGGGACTTCAGCTGTGATGGAGAGGGAGAAAAGTGTTAGATTCAGCTTGTATTTCAAAGACAGAGGCAATGGATTTGGCGATGGACTCTGTGCGTGTGTGTGTGTGTGTGTGTGTGTGTGTAAAGGGGCTGTGAGAGAAACAGAGGAGACGGGGTTGCCCAAAACTTTCATAACATTTAATGAGACAGAGCTGACTACATGAGTCTCTTAGCTATCTTTACTTGTATCACCAAGGCTGAGTACAGAATATCAAAACCACATCATCACCTGAGAACGTGGTTGTATTCATTCAACCAATGAATCACTGATTCAACACCAAACATTCCAATCCACTATGTGCCAGGCACTGTCCTAGGTGCTGAAGACACAGTAATAAACTAAGACCCTCTCTCTGCACAGGTAATTCAAAACTGAATCCTAGCAGTTTCCAATTACTCCATACTATAGCCCTTAGAGTTGGCTGAGTGTAGTTAAGAATGCAAACGTTAAGTGTGGACATTGTGAAGATCCACCTACATACAGTTGTCTCCGCTCCTCCATGTGATTTCACTGCTCCATGACGTGCATATTCTGCCGACTCCTCTCCATCTGGCTGGACAGCCCCGATCATTTAACCTAATTATCTCAACTTCATCTACTCCTAGGAAGTCTGCCCTGAATTCTCCCTGCCCCCAGAAAGTTTGAGTCCACTCATCATACTTTGTGACCTGCTCCATTATAGCACTCCTCACACTCTGTTAATTAGTAGTTTGCTTATCTATCTTCCCTGATCGACTACAACCATCTAAACAAGGACCACGTCTTAATTTTTGTGTTTATGGAGCCTAGAACAGGACCAGACATATAATAAGCACTCAGTAAATGTACACTGAGAAAAGGAATGAACCAATCCATCAGATATAACTGTCAAATACCCCGTCCTTTAATTTCACAATTGATTCCTAGAAGCTAGCAACTACAATTCATACCTCTGAAATACCCCCAGTGTCTAGAACAGAGCAACTATTTTATATTTACTGCTTGAATTTCCACCCAGGGAGATCCCAAAACTGCATCTGTTCAGAATTTATTGAAGATATGACCTTGAGAAGGAGATTTTTGAGTATTCACTGTTCCCTGAATGGGGCTCAAGTGCTGGTATTTTCTAAGTTGGAGAATCTGGAAAGAAACATTTTTCTCTAGCCATGAAGATCTTTCTGCAACAGTAAAAAACGGAGTCAAGCCAAGAAATTTACACAAACCTCACTGTCTCTAGAGAAGGGGGGGGTTGGCTATTAAATAAGCATAGAAGAGAATTCTTAAAAAAGAAAATTAAAAACTAGGCTTCAGATACTGGTGTTCATTTTTTGAGACTAAATATCAATGTGGAGCTAAAGAACGTTAAAGGTCTTTATCATGGAATGTGATATTGAACATTAAAAAATATAGGCATTGGGGATTCCTGAAAAGATGGCAATTTGAGGACATGTGTCTGACTCATTTCTATTATCATCTTTGAAATGATAAATAGAACATAAAAATAAAGAAAATCCTGTATCAAATTATAAATTGGGAAAATAAAGGACATAAGAAACTTTGAAGACTTTTTGATTGATAAAGTTCAGGTGGGCTGTATGGAAAGCAACCGAAACCATTTATTTCAAGGTTCAGCAAACTATGGGCTGTTCTGTAATTAAATTTCACTGGAATACAACCATGCCCATTTGTTTATGTACTGTTTAAGGCTGCCTTTCCAATAAAACAACAGATAGGAGTAGTTTTGAACAAGATAGTATCTCCAGAAAGCCTAAATATTTACTGTCTAGCCCTTTACCTAAAAAGGTTGGACATCTTCGGTCTATTTCTACACCTTTCCACCCATTAAGGAACAGCTCACCTAAGATGAAGACATGCACTGACTGGGAGGGATGAGGGCTAGAAACTAAGACAGGCAGATGGACAGTCTGGAACCTAGGACTCCTACAGTTGCCTCTGCAAACACAGAAACACCAATGGCTGTCCCAATCAGGTAAGCCACAGCTATGTGATTTCTGACCCACCTTCGGTACTGTGGGCCTCCACTAGGCAAAGAGATGGAGTGGTATCCAGGTAATTCCTGCCTGCCGTCAGTAATCATTAATTTTTCAGCTGAGAGGTATAGCCTCCTGATACACAGCCTCTGAATTCGGCATCTGCCCTGTACCCCCAGGCTGCTGCAAGTACACACTGGCAAAGGAAAAATAAACTTCCCCCTTTGGCTAGGAGATTTGAAACAGAGAACACACAGAATCTGACAAGACCCATGTCAGCCCCTTGCTTTAGAAAAGCATAAAACTCTTTTGGAAAGTATAAGCAGAGGGAGAAAATTCACTAAGAAAAAGACAAACTTTTTGCAGCTCACAAAATGAGGACCCAGACTGAGAAATCAGAGCTAATGTCTTCCTAAGAAAATTACTATAAAATAAAACAGTTTTTAAACTTTTTAGCTACTTTCTCAACATATTCCAAGAGGCTATTGTGTTCAAGAAACTAGAACAGGTAGTAAAATACACACATTAGGTAAGACAAGTGCCACTGTTAGATAAATCCAATAGATCATGAGAGGGAAGGGAAGGAGCTCAATGATTCTGGCCCAAATATATCCTGATCGAGTGGTTCTTAAAGTAGGGTCCAGAGAGCATCTGTATCACCCGGAAACGTGTTAGAAATGCAAATTCTTGGCTCTTACCTCAGATCCACTAGATTGGAAACTCTGAAGGGAGGGACCAAAATTTTGTTTTAAGAAGGCCTCTAAGTGATTCTGATAAAAATCACAATTTGAGAACTACTGCCATGAGCACACACAAAAAATAGGCTAATAAGAGGCCTGAGGACAATGGTTCTCAATCTTGGTTGCATATTAGCATGACCTGGGGAGCATTAAATATTTCTGAGGCCTTCTGAATCCCAGAATAATTAAATTTAAATCTCTGGGAATGGATTCATATGACTCCAAACCAAGTTTGAGAATTACTGTTTCTTAAGCAAAAGGGAATCCTGAATGTAAGTAATGGCGCCAAGATACGAAATGAAAATGCATGCCATTGAAGAAGGTATTGATAGAGACAAGAAACAAACCCAAGCAATAGTGTAATTTAGGATTTTAACTGTGCCAAAGAAATAAAGAAAGAGAGCTATAAAATTACCTGATTCGGAGAGCAAATGGAGAGGAATTCAGGCTGACATAGGTCTTTGAGCATTTCTGAACCTTATATTGGGTGCACAGGGGAGCACACCTAAAAACCACGAAGGAAAAAAGAGAGTCATGGAAAACAAATCCAGGAAACTCAACACATCTGTGGTTCCTAAAGTTGTCTGCACATTGAAGTCACCTGGGAGCTTTGAATGCTTCCAGTGTCTGTGTTCCATCTCCCAGAGAATGTTATTTAATTTGACTGAGTGTGACTTGAACTTGGGAAGTTTTAAAAGTTCCCCAGATGAACTTAATATGTAAACAAGTTTAGGAATCACTACAATATATGTGGAATAGCTATTCCAGAAGAATATGACCAAGCACACAGGAGAGGCACCAAAAATAGAAGAAACAGAAGAAAATGATCCTGAGATGAAGTAAAACCTGTGCCTCATCATCAAAGGGGCTCACTGATGCTTAGCTAGAAGAAGTTAAAAGAAACCAACTCAGGTATAACTTCATAAGTTGTTGAATTTCAGGGACACAGAAAATATCACAGAAGAAACTAGGCAGGGAAAAACTCATGTTAAAATGCAACTCAAAAAGAAAAAGGAACAATGTCCACACAGTTCTAACCATAGGTACAAAGATACAAATAGTAATCTGAACACAATAACCTGCCAAATTCCCATTCATATGTAAAGGCAAGCAATGATATTATCTTTGTGTAAAGAATCAGAAGAGAATTGTGAAGGGTAAAATTGAGAAGTCAAGAATGAGGGAGTGTTGGTATAAAAAAAAATTGGTACTGAGTGGTGCAATCACTAAACCAGAGGGTTCTCAAATCTGGCTGCACGTTGCAATGCCTGGGGAGCCTCTAAGAGTACCATAGCCTCGTTGCTATGCCCAGATAAACTGGCTTAATTGGTCTAGAATGGGACCCCCCAAAAGTATTTTTAAGTAGTTCCCCAGGTGATTCTAATGTGTAGCTATGGTTCAGAATTACTGTACTAAAACACAGTTAATTAAATAATTATCACTAATAATTTTTGAAAGGTGTGTAATGAAAATAATTTCATAACAGTCTGGCTCTAAACTTCCATATTATATTTACGCTTTCCTCAAGGGAAAAACAATTAAGTTAGTGCATTATTACAGTCTAAACAGCTCTGCCTGAGGGAGCTTCTCAGTGCCCACAAGCAGCAACCCTGACTGTGTGTATACACATATCCCTCAGATGGTAGGGAATGTCTACCCCCTGCCCCCACATGAGGCTCAGGTCTAAGTGGGAATTAGAAAGTTGGGAGGCAGGGAAGGCTGGAGCTCAGGAGGCCAGGAATCTCCTGATGCCACTTGTGTTTTCATTTGAGTTGGTCTGCATCTGTGAAGGGAATAGTATCCCTTACAGGGGCCACATTCAGATAATGCCTAAACTCCCACGCAGCATGCTGGAGAAGGGTGGGGACAAAGTAAATAAATAACAGGGATGTTCCATCAAAGGGAGGTGTTGAGTTTTCAACAGAACAAATTATGAAAAATAAACTAAGAAAGAACATAGAATATGTGCAATTCCTTTTCTTTTTGTTTTCAATCTTGAAATTAGAGAAAAAGGGGCGCCTGGGTGGCTCAGTTGGTTAAGCGACTGCCTTCAGCTCAGGTCATGATCCTGGAGTCTCGGGATCGAGTCCCGCATCGGGCTCCCTGCTCAGCGGGGAGTCTGCTTCTCCCTCTGATCCTCCCTCCCCCCTCTCATGTTCTCTCTCTGTCTCATTATCTCTCTCAAATAAATAAATAAAATCTTAAAAAAAAAAAAAGAAATGAGAGAAAAAAAGTATTTGTGGTGGTAAAATTTACTTAGCAAGTGTAAGCAAGCAAAAGTGTAAGCTAGAATTTCCTGACCTCGGCACTACTGACATTTGGGGCCAGGTAATTCCTCATTGTGGGAGCTGTCCTGTGCACTGTAGGATGTTTAGCAGCATCTGTGCTCTCTGCTTATTAGATGCCAGGAACACAACCCTCCCCTCAGAACCAGAAATGTCTCCAGACATTGCCTGATATCCCCCGGGGCGGGGGGCAAAATCACCCTTGAGTGAAAACCACTGGTGTAAACTAAAGTTCAATATTCTTTCAGAAAAATTAGAGATTCATTTTCACCTTCCCAAGTATGTATTAAATATGATCCTATATCTTTACAACTTGTTCTTGACATTGTTAATTAGAGAGAAAAAATAAAGTTGGTTCAAATACATTCTGGAACAATGTAAAGGCGAACATGAGTAGAAAGAAAACAGACTTTATATCCTCTAAATCACTTAAGATAGAAAAAGAATAAAAAAAAACAATGTCTATTTGTCAAGTGACATAAATTGCTAAAAGCAGAAAGTTAAAGCAGGGTGACAGAGAACCAAATGTAACTAGTGAAAATGAATGTGAACGGGATAAACTTCCCCATTAGGATACAAAGAATTGGCTATGAGGATCAAAACCCACAAATTCAACTATTGAGGGGAAAAAAAGACTTAAAGACCATACAAAATTTACTTGGCAAAGCAAACCAAAAGGAAACAGGAGCAGGGATATTATTGTTCAGATAAAGGTAAAATTAAATGCTTCAAGCCATGGAACCCAAAAGATTTATTCTATAATTAAGAAAGTTAAAATAGTCCTGAACTCAGAAGACAGAATAATGAGCTACTATTATTTTCTTCTTTCTACACGGCTGTAATGTTTAAACTTGAGCTCCTGGAAGGCAGCAGCTGTCTCTTATTTATTGTGTATTCCCAGGGCCACTGTGTCTGCCAAGGACATCACCCTTATTTATAAATGTTTGTTGGCTAAGTGACTGTGTTCACATGATCCATGGATCCTGATGAAGTTCAGTGATTCATTCCCATGTGTCTCCATTTCCTGATCTCTAATAGGAGAGGTCTCATCTCTCCCACCTCTGTGTTGTCATGTTTTACCCTCCCAGCCCCCATTTTTTAAAATGCCAGTTACCTAAATTAGGCCTCAAAATTAATGTCAAGCTTACAGGTTGTGCAGACATTAAGGATCTCCCACCTCAGGTGGTTTATATTGAGAAACTAGTTATTAATCTGAAATGCTATAAGACCTATATTCAGCAAATCTATAAGGTAATGTTGCTATGAGAACAGTCCCAGCAGATGGGACTACATTTTCTTTTCTTTTTTTTTTTTTTAATATTTTATTTATTTGACAGAGAGAGACACAGCGAGAGAGGGAACACAAGCAGGAGGAGTGGGAGAGGGAGAAGCAGGCTTCCCGCTGAGCAGGGAGCCTGATGTGGGGCTCGATCCCAGGACCCTGGGATCATGACCCGAGCCGAAGGCAGACGCTTAACGACTGAGCCACCCAGGCGCCCCGGGACTCCATTTTGACAGCTCTTTCTAGCCCCGTAGCTTTCAGAGAGAATATTGCCTTGAAATGGTAGGCAGGAGAGGCTACAAGCTCTTTGAGATTAGCCACACTGTGTTTTCCATTTGCTATCCCCGAGCCTGGCTCACAGTAGGTGCTTAGTAAATGGGTGTTGAAAGTGAATTAAGGAAAGGCCCATGTTTGCCTGGGTGGCTCAGGTGTTAAGCGTCTGCCTTCGGCTCAGGTCATGGTCCCAGGGTCCTGGGATCAAGTCCCACATCGGGCTTCCTAGTTGGCGGGAAGCCTGCTTCTCCCTTTCCCACTCCCCCTGCTTGTGTTCCCTCTCTCGCTGTATTTCTCTCTGTCAAATAAAGAAATAAAATCTTAAAAAAAAAAAGGAAAGACCCCATGTTTTTTGTTCCTGGATGGGGCCCTCAAAGTGCCATTCTTTCCCTCTAAACTTCTTAGTAGATTGAAGAGAGTCTTTTAAAAATACAACCTCCATTTGAATGAGGGGAGTGTGAGTCCATGAAACGGTCACACGGTGCCACTTGATTTGTCACCACTGAGCTACAACTGCTGTACAGAGAAAGCCACAGAAAGAGTTATCAAGACACTTACTTCCAGCAGTGGACTCAAGTGTGTACCCATCACTCACCCATCCTTCCTGTTCCCTGCCCCTCCAAATTAAATAACACCAAAGAAAAAATATCAGTCTAACAAGGTCTTATTTAATGTTCCAGACTGACTCAAATCCATATTGATCAAGTTTCAATTTGAAGCTGGAGCCTGCAGCAATAAGTGAGATCAATAGGAGGCCTTCATTCAAACATCTCATCTGCTAAAAAAAAAACAGAACAGAAAAGATTCTAGCATTGTACAAAATATGAGGGTGATGAGAAAGTCATTTTTTTATAAAAAATAAGCTATGTAAAAAGATATAACGAAGTACTTATGCTTATGATAGACTTGAACATTTTTAAACAGAGGAGAAGAGGTATTTTTAGGCAGAAAAAAGAAAGGAAATCACTAAGACTTGCTGAAAGCCCTTACTGATTTAGTTGCAAGGTTTACCTTCTGTGTTTCTATGGTTTTTTTTTTTTTCTTAATGTAGTTCTAAAAATACCTTTTGTGGATGCTGAATATGGCTTTTTACATGGACTCAATAAGTGAGCGCCTTTCTGTGCCCAGCATTGTGCAGAGTGCTAGGAAGGGTCCCAGAGAAATGTATGACACAGCTCCTATGGTCTAGGGCTGCATAGTCCTGCACGGCAAATGAGAAGAGAAAAACAACAATGATTAAGATACAAAACAAGACAATATTTCATTAAAAGTCAAATAAGTGATCCAAATAAAGACCTTTTATAAAGATGAAATAAAAGCCTTAGAAAGTCAATTAAGGAATAGCTAGAAGAATGAGATTTGGAGAAGACAGACCTCTGCCACTACCTGTTTCCTTTAGATAATTTCCAACCTCTTTGTGTACCTGTTTGCTCAACTGTAAAACAAGGAGTGTGATGCATCTACATCGTGAGGCTGTTGTGGGGGAACAGCTGTCAAGAACACAGCTGGCTAGTGAGAATTTAAAGAAGGGAGGATCTGTGTGCGTCTACACAAGCCAAAAGACCCAGTAGAAGAGATATGGCTTGTAATCTGGCATAGATTAAAGGTGAATTTGGGCAAGTCATTTCCTTTTCTGGGTCTCAGT